CAAATTATAAAAAAAATTATTATTTATTATTTTATAATTATAATTATTAAATAAAATCTAATGTTTAAAATTTTTTATAAATATTTGAATAAATTTTTTGAAATGAAATTATTTATTAAAATAGTTACAAAAAATAATAAAATTACATTAAAATTAAGAATAACAAAAAAATTACAAAGATATTAGTATATTTATAAAAAATTAAAAATAATTATATTTTATGAAAATAATGAATTTAGTATGTGTAAAACATGTAAAAATTAAATATCTTATCAAAACAATTAAAAAAATTGAATAAATAAAAAAAGATTTAATTAATACATCTTTAAGAATGCTTAAATTACATAAAGGAAAATTACTTAAATATTTACAATTAGAAGATATCTTATTTGATTAAGTTATAAAGTAACAGCAATTACAAAATCTTATTACACAATTATTAAACTACAAAAGCAATTTTGCTTGTATAAAATACAAATTTTCAAAATTTACCAAATATGCAAACATTTAAATTTTCAAATAAATGGTTTGATGATTTTTTAAATCAATATAATTTATCAATTAGATATATAATTATTGTGAAATATTTACCTGAAAATCTAGAAAAAATAAAATACAATTTTTTAAATTATATTTCAAATAAATATAATCAATATAATTATTTTTTACATTTTTTATATTTAATTAGAAATATGGATAAAACTTCTCTTACTTTTGATATATCTAATTAAAAAATGTGATGTTTATATAGTTAACATTAAAACTACAGGTAATAAAAAAAATTTTTAATGTAATTCTTGAATGCATGATTGATAGAATAAAATTATCTTCAGTTATTATTTTCAAATTAAAAAATATATCTCAAAAAACTTTTCCTGAAGGTATATTTATTTATACAAATGAAAAAGTTTGAATTAATAAAAATAAAATATTATAGTAGATTGAAAATATTTGAACTAAATGATCTTATTAAATGATCTGCATTTTCTTTTAATTTTTGATTTATTTCGTACACATATAATTAATTCAGTTAAAAATTATCTTATTAAATATAGTAGTTATTCTTGATAGTTTAATATTAAAATTATAATTATTAAATGTTGCAATTAATAAGAGTTTTAAATTTAAGGTATAGATAATTTTTATTTTATATTTTATTTTATTTTATTTTATATAGATAATAATAAAATTAATTTAAAAAGGTCTGAGAATTATATAATCAATGGATGGTAAAGAAAATTCATGAAACTACATCCTTAAATTATATTAAAAGACCATCTTATTTAAAAATAGCTGAATGAATAAAAATCGTGTGGGAATTTCTTGATTCAAATTTAATTAAAATTCATTTAAATGTTGTGAAATACCTGTTGTAAAGAATTTAAATTTAGATATACTTAGTATTTTAATTGCAATAAAGATAAAAAGGATCAGCTATACCATACCATTATAATATTCGAGGGAGTATAAATTATATTAGTAAATCTGGCCAAAATTATAAACGCATAATTTAGCATAATTTACTCACGCATAATTTGGTATGGTATTTTGGTATTTTTTTATAAGCATAATCCTAGACATTTCTAAACAAGTTTGAGTTTATTACAAATTTATTAAATTCAAATGCCTTTAATATCAGCTCCTCCATTAGCGCGTTATCAATATTTAATATCTCGGTAATTTATTTATTTTTTTATTTAAAAAAATTTTTTTTTTTTTTTTCTAAATTCTAAAATAATTTTTTTAAAAAAAAAACAAAAAGCCGGGGGGATTTTATCCTCTCAGTATTTGCGGGTTCTTTATCATATTATTTGTACGAAAAAGATAATCCTCGTGAAAACGACAAAACTTTATGGAATTTAATTAAGAGAAAATTTGAAGTTTAAAACGTTACTTTTAATGATTATAAATAAATTTATCAATAAATTAAATTAACTTTTTAATCATATTCTTTATCCATTAATTAAATTTCCATTCTGGACTTTTTATCAAATCTTTAATAATTTGTATACCACGATGTCCTTTAATTGGATGTTCAACAAAAGATTTTTTTTCTGCTAGCTCTATTGCTACTTCTTGTGGAGTTCTTTTTGTTGCCTTGACTTTTTCGAGAATTAATTTTGTACAATTGTAAATCGAATTCTAAAAAAGAACCCAATTTTAAATTATTGATTGTCTAGTTTAAATAATAAAAAACAAATTGATATTTACGAACCTCCCATGAATCACCTAAATGTTGTTCGATAAATGGATCGTCTTCAACATAACCGTATTGCTCGTCAGCGCAATTCACAATTCCTTTTTTTTTTTAAAAAAAAAAAAAAAGAACTTATCATTAATAAAAGATAATTCAGATGTTTAAAAATAATGTTTAAATTGACTGTATTTACCCATTCGATTAGCCAAAAAATCTATTATTTATAAAGTTGATTTGAGATGATAATACAACAACTAAATTAAACAATAATAAAGATTCATCTACCTGGTATATATGTGATCCCTTGCCTGGCAAGAAGTTTATCATCTTTAGCAGGATCTAATTTGAAAAAAAATATATATATTGAATGGAATAACATAAATAAATAAAATAAAACTTGAATTTACCTCCCAACTGATTGTTGGCTGCGCCACAAACGATCTTCGATTTAATATTTGGGATTGTTTGTGAAGTAAGTATATTGCCAACTCCACATGGTGAAACAGCATCAACGTCTAATACAATACATGTAATATTAATTGAAAAACTTGTTTAAAGAAGATCTCCAAAGTTTTGTATGTATTTACCTTCAAATAAAATTGAATTATCATTTCGCTTAGTTAATCGGAATTCAATTTTGCCACTTTGAAATCCTTTGCCAAATTCTTTTTCTAAATCTTGAATCTTTTGCGGATCTATGTCACAAGCAATGATGTGCTCGACGCGTTTTTCGCGTAAAAATTGTATCAGGTTGTAGCCGACATTTCCAACACCCTTAAATAAATAAAAAAAATAATAAAAATGATTTAATGAGCTTACGTGACGCGTAACTAAGCTACTATTAAATCAACGTTACCTGAACAGCGATTGTGGCACCTTCTAACGATTCTCTACCTAAATGTGAAAAGGCGGCTTCAAGTGCACGAACAACTCCTCTTGCCTTAAGTAAAAGTAGCAATTGTTAATAAATACGATGATTATGAAATATATTTACAATGTTAACATAATACCGTTGGTAAACTTGGGTTACCGCTACCACCATACTATGGTAAAAAAAAAAAAATAAGAAATTGGTAAGATGATGGTAGTCAAGATTGATGCAACCTTTGATGAAATTTTCTAATAACATACTTGCGGCGAAATACAAGTTGTAAAACGCGTTTTTGAAAAAATTGCTTCCATATCTTCATCTTTCATTCCTACATCTTTAGCCGTTACATAACAACCTTTCAATGAACTTTTTAAAAATGATAAATCCCTAAATGTTCCAACAAGACCATTAAGTTTAGAACAATGTTACGATTTCATACCTAATAAAAGAACCATATTCTTCAAAGACTAAACGACGTTGTAAGGATGAAGCCCCTTCCTCACTATATGATTAATAATATTATATTAAAATCATGCACGTATGTGAAATTTAAATTTTAACATAAAACTTACAATGCAACTCCAGAGTTTCTAGCAATTATTCCTTTTCCGCCTCCCCACCTAACATATATTATAACATACGAATTTATTATTTTACACCCATTTTTATTTTTTTTTTCCAATCAAGATATCACAGACCATAATTCAGCGAGAGCATTTTTATGTGTCATTGCTCTGGACAACCGAATTCCATCACGGAACCAATCTTCTATGCTATCATAACTCCAATTTCGCGTACCACCTGCCGCAGCACCTCGACAAGTTCTATGAACAAATGCTCCCTAAAAGACATCCTAATTAATCACAATCAGTCACGTGAGAAATCCAATATCCTAGTTTATGAAATGTACCTGCAGTACTCCAGATTTATACCCGATCTTTTTGAATTTGGAAAGTTTTTTTTTTTTTAAAAAAAATAAATAAATAAAGAATAACCAAACCGTTAGAATGAAAAATTTTCCTTATTTCGCAGAGAAATTTCAAGAAAGAATATAACACACCTGTCCGAAAATTCCTTCATGTTTATCGAAATCAATTCCCTCTTGAGTAAAATAGCTAGAATTCAAATGTAAAAGTAAAATGTAAATAAATAAAAATAAGAAAATAAACAGAAATAAATTTTTTTGAACTCATTATTTACTCTCCAATAGGTTGTAGAATGGGATGAGATGCTACAGTTTTTCCGGTATTTCGATTAAAATATGCATGAAATTTAGTAATTCCGTGAGATCTAAGAACAGAAATAAAACTATCGAGCAAAAATTAAATTAGGCAAATTAATAAGGTTCAACGAGGAATTATGTAAGCAGACGGATAACAAAACGAGAGGTCATATACCTTTTTGGAGAAAGTGAAAGAATTGAAGGTTTTACTAAACTTGACATTATAAATATTAAAAGTACTAGCCCAAAATTTTTTAGATTCCTTTTATATTTGATATAATTTAGCTGCGCCAAAAATTATAAAGCTGGTGACAGCCTAAATTAGAATTTTTTTATATAAGAAACATCATAATTTATTTAGGGTCTTTATTATTATTATTTTAAAAAAATAAGTTTAATTTAATTTAATTTATTTAACGGGTACTTTTGGCTTCTTAGTCCCATACTTTGAGCGAGAAGAGGCTCTATTTGGTACACCAGTGAAATCATAAGCTCCCCTAATAAGATGATATCGAACACCAGGTAAATCTTTAACACGCCCGCCTCGAACAAGAACAACACTATGTTCACTCTATACAATAACATGAATTTTATAGAAATCAATTAATAAAATTCAGTTAATATCAAATCTTAATAAAATGTGAATTACCAAGTTATGACCTTCTCCTGGTATATAAGCCGTTACGAATTTTCCCGTGGAAAGCTTAACACGAGCCACTTTACGTACGGCAGAATTGGGTTTCTTTGGTTTTGTTGTGTAAACTTTGTTACAAATTCCCTTCTTTTGAAAACTTCCTTCCAGAGCGGGTGATTTTGACAATTTGACTTTAGACTTTCGTATACCACGCATTACTTGATTAAGCGTGGCATATGCGGCTGAAAGAGGTTGTTGATATAGGTGGATAGAAGAAGGAAATGACGCGTATCGAAATAATGCCGTGCGTAAAGAGTTCATTTGTCACGTTCTAAATTTATTTATTCGAAAGACTAAAAAGGTAGTGTATTTGTATTGTATAAATAATTGTAAATCTCTCTTGGGACTTACAATTCAATGAATCGTTGATTTAGAAAACCATAAAAAAAAATTGAATCTAAATGATCTTCATCATGATATAATGTTACACAAAATTTGATTAATTACAAGTTTGATATAAAAAATTTTTTCATTTTAAAATTTTTGTTCCCTCTCTTTTACATTCTTGTATAGTCGGTAAGTTACTTTGTACATTAAAATATCAATTCGGAATTTAACGGATGATAATTGAAAGAAAGAGATTATTCTCAATTCGAATGATTTAAAAATTATTATTATTATTATTTGAAAAATTTTTAACTGACGATATAAAATTAATCCATAGAGAAAATGAAGCACAATAACCGACTTCCAAACGTCCATTTTCACAAGGATTGGCAGATACGTGTTAAGACTTGGTTCGATCAGCCTGGGCGCAAGAAGAGAAGAAGACTCAATCGCATCGATAAGGCTGCTCGAATTGCTCCACGTCCTATTGAACTTTTAAGGCCGGCAGTAAGATGTCCTACGCGTAGATATAATACCAAATTAAGAGCTGGTCGTGGATTCACGCTCGATGAACTCAAGGTTGGATCAATTAATTATATAAATATAAATATTTATGCTTATTAAAAATATTCTTTCAGCCGAGAAAATTTTAATTGGGATTAGAGCATTACTTTTTTTAATACATAAGACCAAAAAAAAAAAAAAAAAAAAAAAAGAGAAATATTCATAATGTAAATTTACTTTTAAATTATTGATAGGAAGCTGGAATTCGTCGTAAGGAGGCACTCACCATTGGTATTCCTGTTGATCATCGACGTAAAAATCGATCGGTTGAATCTCTTCAACTTAATGTTCAACGTTTGAAGACATATAAGAGCAAACTCATTATTTTCCCAAGAAATGCCAAAAAACCAAAGAAAGCCGATTCCGCTGTATGCCGTTTTCTTTCTTTCTTTTTTTTTTTTTTAAAAAAAAAATTGTTTATTAATTATGAAATTTTATTTACTTCCATTAATGAAGCCGGATCAAATTGCCACTGCGACCCAACTGAAAGGGACTGTCATGCCAGTCCAACAATTGTGGAAGAGAGAAAAGGCTCGTGCCATTACTGATGAAGAAAAGAAAGGAAGCGCATATGCTACCTTGCGTAAAGCTCGCTCTGATGCTCGCCTTGTTGGAGTACGTGAAGCTCGTCGTAAGGCAAAGGAAGAGGAAGAAGCTACCAAGAAGAAATAAAATAAATAAAAGTTTCTAATATTTATTTTTATTTGTGATCAAATAAGATAAAAATCATCATATCACCATTTAATCAACTATATGTTAGAAGTTAGGACTTTTATATGATAAAAACAAAAAATATGTAGTAGGGATTTTTTTTTTTAAAGTGAAAAATACTTTTATCGAGAATTTAATTAAATCATTTTAAAACTTAAAAGATATATATATATATATATAAATTTAATTTAAAAAAGAAGCGTTATTGTCAAATATAGCCTTTTTTTTTTAAAAAAAAAAAAGGGAGTTACGACTAACATAATAATAATACATGAAATAGGACAAATCAATTAGAATTCATTTGGAAACAAAATTTTATAAATTCTTTTATTATTGAATAGATGGAGAATTATAATCCATTATTTGAACTCTGTCCGTTTGACATATCTTCTTCCTCGACTTCCCAAATCTTTCTGATCTTGCCTAAATCAAAACATTTCTCATACACATGATTTTGAACAAATTCGGTTAGTATCCAAACATTTGCCATAAAGAAAACTATACTTGCCAACCATATATTGAAGAATGTGTTTTCTCCAAGAAATTCAAGATTATAAGCTTGATAAAGCCAAAGGGCCTGTTATAAAAAAATCAAAATAAAAAATAAAGATTTTTTTCTTCAGTTGGAAACTAGCCAGATAATAAACTTCATTACCTGACCGCCTATCCATGCAAACAACATAAATAGTCCTTTGTAAAAGAATTTGATGGTGGAGGATTGAATTATAAGTGGAAATAAACATATATACCACATAAAGTACTATAAAAATAAAAATAAGTTAATTTTTTTACAGTTTGAAAATGTAAGAAAAAAAAAAAAATTTCATTTATTACGAGAATTTACCTGGGAAGTACAAACTTTGTTATAAATCACAAACGCAAAGGTTTGAACGAAACATGCAAAAAAGATATCATTGCCAAACACAATTCCCAACAGTGTTACAATACTTATCTGAGGCAAGAATGCCAATAAAGCCATTATAGAACTTTTAGAAATGTCAAAAGTGAGATAAATGTAATAAAACCAAAGGGAAAAGTTATGGCGATGATCTTTGCGTGTAACATGGTAAAGGTAAGTTTCGTTGAGAAATTCTTGTGAATACCTAAATATTTAAAGACGATAACTGACTTATTCAATGATTAGTTTCAATTCAATTATAAATTTATACGTATAAGATTATATCAATAAGAAAAGACTTACAGATAATACATTATTCCATTTAAAAGAAAAAACACTCCTCCACTTATTAAGCCAAACTTAATTCGCGTTGGATTTACAAATCTAACAACTTTTCCTGTCCAATATTTCAGAGAATCTCTATCAAGCTCTTTCTCCTTACCCTTCCTTCTTAAACCCCGATAATCTTCATCATCTAGCAAAACCAATAATGATATGGCATAAATAATGGGATAAACCTTAAGGTGAACAGATATTCCGTATAGAATGCTTGCGGCGATAATCTTTTTCACGAGCACCAAATACAAGGTCAATAGCACCGCGGCTCCGAGTAATGATTCCGCGTTCCCACGCGTCGAAATGTTTGAAACTACTGGATTCAAAAGCCATATCGCGGAATAATTAACAGCTTTTTGATCCTGTAATCCTCGCAAACGTAAAATTCTATATATTAAAACTCCAACTACAATATCTGCAAAAACAAACAAAAATTTGCCAAACGATTTGTGAATATAAATGTTTGGTGTTAACAAAAATGCAAGAAGGGGTGTATATCGATACGTTGCACGTTTATAAGGACTTTCTCCTTGAATTACAAAACGCGCTGCATCTGAGAAAACTTTGTAATCTATATCAGTGTATTTCACTTGCATGTGCGCGTCTTGCCATTCACCATAAATCAACATTCCCAAACGAAGAAGCAAGGCCATTAAACATAAAATAGTAAAATTGAGCCTTGGTAAGTGCATTTTGAAACGTTGTTGGTGATCGGTCTAATTAAAAAAAAATTACGTAGAATTTATCGAGTGTTTCTTGGGATTACTAATTTAGGTAATTTACCCCACGCTACACGATTGGCTGGTATAATTGAGATTAATTAACATGGATCACCCTTTCGTCAATGGAAAAAGACTCTCAAATCGAAACGTGTTTTAAAGGGATGAACTTGTGTATTACCGCACTAGGTGAGATATGTTTTAATAAATTGTTGGCCATATACACCTGAAGTTACGCTGCACTAGGTAATTAGGCGGTAGAGAACCTGAAGCGCAACGCGACCACTTAGATTATGAATCGGGTAATATTTTGTTCTCGGCTTAGCCTTGTTATTCTGAATAGGGTGTATGGGTTGAGTAAACTAAGTCAGACTCCATCCTCGTGATAGCAAAATTTACTTATTTTTGTTTTTTTTTTCTACACTCAACAGTATGTCATTATCATGAAGGACAGTACGCTAACGGCACTACGGAGAGTGTAACTTTTTCTCAAGTAAATGCCCAACATGACTATATTGGTTATGGTTATGATGCTTTGGTCAAGATCTAGTTAACAATAGTAAGATCCTTATTATTATCAAAATTACAATCCAAACTGAACATATGATCCGAATAAAGAGTATAATCTTAATCAATCAAACGATCCTTGTCAAACATATTACATACGATCAAAGTCATTATGATCCTTCTTTATATAGTCAAGTTATTATCAATTTCAAATTCCAAAAAATCTTTGATTCAAATTCGAATCAAGAACTTTCAAATTCAAAACAAAAGGAAGGAGGTGAGGATACGGTTAATAGCAATGATATCACGAATACGAATAGTATGGGTGAAGTAAACAGAACGTTGGTGACGCGTTAAAATCTGATGCAGTACTTTTGTTGGTACTTTAAAATGATAATGAAACTATAAATCAAGACATTGATCATAATTTCAAATTTCTAACTATATCATCATCGATCGATCGACGTCAATCAATGATAATGTTGCCGCATTTATTTTGGTCGAAACAAACTTCTTCAGAAAAAGAAAATAATTCGCGTATTAATTCGCCAGCTGAAAAAGATAATGAATTGAATGGGTTGGAAAATGAGGACCAAGAAGTAAATATTACTTACGGAGATGATATTGATATTTGAATATCAGCCTCGAGAGTTGGAGAGTCATCTGAAATCAGGATGGACCATATGTTTATGATTCATAAAATTATATCTGAAGTTTCTGCTGCCGGTGAGAAAGAAGAAATTAATGATAAACAGAAAGATTAAACTAAATTGGATGACTAGTTCTAGGATCAGCTAGTAAACCTGGTAGAAAAAAAAGTATGTATTCTCCTTGCCATTATCGGCTTGCCCTGGGTGAAAGAGGTTTTTCCTGGTCGTGTCTTGGATTCCTGGTATTAATTCATGTATATTCTCAATTTTTTTAGGAAGATTTAAGAACGAAATTTGGCATTGGAAGAAAGAAGGCTAGCGATAAGGGAGCGTGTTTGTTTATTTGATTGTTACAAGTTGCCATAAAACTCCCTCACAAGTAGAAAACTACATTCTTTATTAATATAAGTATTTGATACTTTGAACTTTTTCCACTCGCTTTTTTTTTATTTTAATTTTTTACATCTTTTAATGTTATTATATGGGAGAGTTGCCAGTAAACACAACGTTCCCATATTTAATAATTGTCGAGGTTATGTTCGCTTTTGCAAAAGTTGAGGCGCTGAATATCAAATTATGGAAGAGATAACAAATTGCAGGACTAAGGACATCAACCATATTTTGCGTATTAAATACATGTAATGATTTTAACTGTTTCACAGTAATATATTAATAAAATTCGTCCACGCCGCCTCTTACCATAAATTCGATTGATGAATCAAATGCGAAACACTAATGTAGACATTGGAATAAACATTTTTTCATTCATACGTCCTCGGCACATACTCGGTACATTCTCGTTACGTGCGTGAATTTTGGTCACGTGATTACAACGTTCGCCTAGTCTTAGTCATGGATTAAATAGCCCTTCGAATCTTTGATTTTCAAATATAATAAGAGCGCTTTTTATCGAAAAATCGTGGATGTTTAAATATGAATCTACTTGTTTACTGGCTTCGAATTTTTGAGAAGGTGGGCTGAAATGTTACCTGAAAAAATGCGCAATAAAAAATTATACCGGAAAATCCTCTCCTGGCTTGTGCAAAATTTGTACAATTTTTATTAATATTTGATTAGCGTGGGGTGTTTCAATTAATTTCTACATCCGTGTAACACTACTCGTAATATTTTTGACATTTAACTTGTGTAATATTTTTTTATTTGTTTCATTCATTACATGATATACAGTAATACTAAATATAATATAAGACATTTGATTTAATAAAATTGACATTTTTTATTTCTCTGTAAATCCTGATTCAGGCTAAAACAGGTTTTTTTAATATAATTCCTGGTGAGGATTAACAAACGTCAAATGACATCAAATTTTTTCATTTGATGAAATATTGACATTCAGAATGTTTTATTAACATGAGATAGTTCTTATCTAAAAAATTTCTTGTTAAACATTTTACAAAATATGGAACTGATTTTTTAAAAGTATAATAAAGCAAATCGAGTTAACCCTATACTAAAATTCCTTATTCAGTTACAATTTTAAAATTATTACTTTTAATTATAAAATATAATTTAAGATAAAAAGCTTTTTACAAAATAAATTATAAAATAAAATTTAAAAGAATTTAAGATATTTATACTAAATCTAAAAATAAATCATATAATATTTAAACAGTTATTATTTTATATATTAACAATTAACATATATTATTAAACTATATCCTCTTTAAATTAATCAATCATATTATATTAGTAATTAAAATATGGATGTATAAAGACATTACTAAAAAAATATATATATAATTATCAACTGGAAATATGAATTAGGTTTTAATTGATTTAGAATATATTAATAAGAAAAAATATTATATTACTAAATATCTGTCAAAAAGTGTTTAACTATTATTTAGTAACTATTACTATATTTGTGAAATTGTTATATTACTTTAAACTTTCAAGTTTAATGGATTTTAAAAATAGTTAATGGGTTTGAAATGGTATTTACTACTATTTTTTTTTTTGAATTTTAGCTGAAAAATTTTTTTTAATCTTCTGGTTTGATTTGGACTGTAAAACTTAATTACTGTTTAAAAGAACAAATTTTTATAGTGATCATGTGATTCCAAAATTGCGCTTCGAAAACTGTCACGTGATATATTTTGTCACTGTTGTCACGTTTCATTTTTACCAAATTTTATGGATATAACGTGTGTTATTTCCTTATATAAGATTTTAGAATATGTCCTTAATCGATTATATATTTAACAGAGGAAATATTTGCCTAACTCCAAAACCAAGCGAAAAAAACACTTACTGTATATTCCCGAAAATAAGCATCCTGTGACATGCTCCTTTTATAGTAATTTATTTATTTGTTACATGGATTTATTATATTATTTGTCACGTATATACTAAAAAATTTATATATATCACGCGATGTTTATTTCAGAGGAATACGGTAAGTAAAATTATCATGAACTTACTTACTAGTGAAACAAATTTGAAAATTAAAACTTTAAGAATTTTGAGTCATAACGTAGAGATTTACAGAATAAGGTGATTATATCACTGAGTATTTGTTGAGTTGTTATGTATCTGAAGTTACGCTGCCACTAGGTGTAAACTGGAGGATTTGAAAGCTCTTCGTAGCCACAGCTTACAAAATTTGCCAGTCAAGTATCTGCTGTGAACGTTCGAATTTCATTACCGAAAAAACTGCATTAGTTTGAGCCCTGGGTTTGTGGTGAATAGAATACATGAAACATCGAATTGAAAGCACATTCTTTGGTTCTTGACGATAATGATACACTTACTTTTTTTATTTTGATATTTCAGACCAAGACTAGGTAAAGGTGGTGTGGAACTGTTTAGAAATTATGAAGGATTCTTAATATTAGTCCAATGCAAAAATTAAGATGAGACGAAATATAGGTAATATATCAGTTGTAGATTAAATATAAATCTTTAATCGACGTTAATTTATTATTTATTGTAGGTCCCAGGATCCTATGTGACCTAGAGGTTCTATCTAGGTATCACAAAGGCACTACAATTAGAATTCTCGTAGTCCCTTCAATGACAAAATTTACCTCTGGAATAGTAAGAAGATCTAGAACATCAAGGTAAAACATCATATTAACGGATGTTAGAAATCTATACTTGACCTTGTTCAGTTCGTTAAGGAACAACAAATTGATGTTCTTGTTCAGTTCATTGAGGAAAGACAAATCGAAATATTTTATAATCTTGTTCGGCTTGTTGAAAAATGATCAGTCAATGTTATCCGTCAGGATATTATCGATATAAATTTGCGTCTTGTGAATCAACGAGCTCGTAATATACATAAACTTTTATTATATTTTTTTTTTGCATTATTATAATTTTATTGTTATTATACATAATTTTTTTTAAATAGTTTTTTTCTCATATTCTTATTTTTTTTAATCAATAAACTGGGTTGTTGCTAATCATCACAAAGAAGTCTAATTAAAGATGAATATAAGGTTTGATCTTGATTAATAATTTTCGCAATTCATAATTAAATTAACCAGAATTTCCATGATGTGATTACACATAATTTCCATTGATGAAGAATTCGATTCTTGGATCACTACAGATTGTATAAAAGGATTTAGGCTATCCTTTATCTGCTCTGTTTAAAATGAAATCAAATACTAATCAACAAACTTTATACATCTTCAATAATTAATTTCAAAACTGCAAAACGAGGAATATCTGCAGATAAAAAATAAGGTATGATGGAAATGCTTGATTACACTCACCAATCACTTTGATTTTATCATATATGCGAATCAAATTTCCGTTTCATAGATATTGTAATTCTATATATCACTTAATATTAAGAAAAAAACAAAGATAACAGTGGGAGATTTTAATAATCGCATTACTAAATTTTGATCCCTGAAATTCTTATAAGTGGTAATGTTCACTTTGTCTGGTTTTGTTACAGCATGCCTCACATATAATTTTACTTATTAGATAATGATAATGATAATTTACATTTACTTAACAAAATATTTATTGAATTAAATTCCACAAAATAATTGGTGTAGTTGCTACATATAAAAAATTTTATTTTATTTATAAACTATAAACTTAAATCTGAAAATCAAAATAAACTGCACTTATTATATAAATTTTAAAGCTTTTTAACTATATATAATATGGGTGCAATAAAATCAGTTAAAATGACGTGTTAAAAATCTGTGTCAAGTTTATCATGCACTATATCTAACTGTCACATGACTATAATACTTATTTATATCATCTTATAAATTTATAAAAAGTTATTCTGTTAACATCTGATATATAAAAAAAATATACTATATATTTTTAAAACATATTACTAGTTAAAGTTATAGTATTTGATTGTATTGCAATAAATAGTAAATAAAATTATATTATATTAATATAATTATTAATCAAAATATCATAAGTTTTATCCGACCTTTTTTTTCTTATATACTTTTTTCAAATATTTTGAATATTTCAAATACAACAATAAAATATTTAAAAAATATATTTTTTATATTACTTATAAAATATAAAATTATACAAATTTAATAAAACAGTATTGAAATTAATAATATTATTACATAAATTAACTAATATGTATTTTTTTATATATATTTTATAAAAAATTTATTGAATATATTTTAAAAACAAAGTTTTAATAAAAATAATATTATATTATTTATATTTTATATATTAATTTATTTTATATATTTTCAATATTTTTAAAATATTTTTTAAAAAAAAATTAAGATTTTGATAAAATAACAAAAATTTTTATCTTTATTTTTTTAATATTTTGTTAAAATATTTACAATTATAATTTAGAATAAAAAAATAATAAAGGTTTAAATAAATAATATAATATCATTATAGCAAATTTTTTTTATTTTTTAATAAAAACTCAAAATTTATTAATGATTATATGTTATTTAGTCTAAATATAAATCTAGATAATCTTTATTTTATAAATAAGCTTATTAAAATTAATAAAA